TATTTAATTCCCCAAAGCCCACTCAATTTCATGAGCTCTGGATAACAGCAAACAAACACTGACAATTTTGACATCTCTCTGTTCAGGATCCAGTGGGGTCTCTGAGATACCCGTAAAGAGGCCCCCTCAATAATTTCACTGGGATGGGTGAATCTGACAATTTTGCTTTCTCTCTTCATGTTGATTTTCCAATGTCTTAAATTCAGTTCTCCACATCAATTAGAGATTACTATTTTATTGTTTTAAAAAAATAGTTTTAGCATTATTTCCTTCTCATATGCCATTTTTGCTTGCAATTTTGCCTTACATATTTTTGCAAAGCAATTTCCTCTAATATAATAGAGAGATGCTTAAGTTTGCTACTATTGGTATTATTTTTTGTATCTTTATTGTTAACTCTTATTACGACATGTGGGGATTGCTTAATCTTGTTGTGTACTTAGAGAGATACACATTTATTTCTCATGACTACCTTTGTTACATTTTTGTAATTATGCAAATATTTTCATGCTGTAAGCTGCATTAAGCGTGGTTTTACTGTACAAATAATGACATGTGTTACTAGCCCCTCCAAACTTAATTTTTGTTGGAGAAAAGCAAATACATTTCCTTCTCTTAAGCTTCTAGTTAATGCATGTGCACTAAAAGGAAGTTTGTCTCATGATTTACCCACTTGCTGCTTGTAGCCTGTCTGTCTAAATTAAGTCCACACCTAAAATCTGAGCCATTTTGTTTGCTGTTCTCTCCAGCCAAGACACCTGCTATTTCTCTCCTCCTATCTCAACTCATCCTGTAAATAGTTCCTGCATGAATAAAGCCTTTGAAATCCTGAACCTGTAATTATTCCAATCTAATTTCCCCTAGCGGCAAGGTCTGCTAACAATTTTAAACTCATTGTCTCCCCGTGCAAATATTGTTACCTTTTTGTTTTTTAAGTCTTTATGCAACTGTGGGGTCCCTTTTTCAGCCGCTAGACTACAATCCCTCCAGATCAACCTTTCATGGGCCACATGCCAGTGGGGTTTTTTTTTGGAGGGGGGGAGGCAGAGACAAAAGTGGACAGAATACCTCTGGCCAACCTTGCTTTGCACCCTTCTTAAGGCTGGATGAAGGATTAGAGAGGCGGGCATGAAGCTAGCAGCCTATTGAAAAAAAAAGTTTAAGTTTGCTGCTCTGTCCACTTTTGCCTTAAAGTGCCATCCTCAAGCATTTTTCTAATAATACAGAGTTGTGCTTTACTAAGAATCAGTCAGAACTAAGACAGTTCCTCCTGCTCCTCCTCCTCTATTCCTTTGTCCCATAGAATTCAATGAGAGCCAGTGGAAACTGAGCCTAGATTCTGCCAGCATCAACACCTGCTTGGGCATTCCTGGCGTTTTAACAGAATGAGAAACAACATTATTACTTAACCAGCCATTTGATGACTGAGAGATACTGGCCATGGCAACCATGAAATTAATAACCATGAGGGTATGTGATTGCTTTTAGATGTTTTTAGATGTTCCTAATGTTCCCAAGTGGTTTTTTAAGGGTTTAAATATGTTTTGACTTGAGATTTCAAATTGTACAGTGTTTAGCATTTTGCTTTTTGTTTCCCTGGGCTCCTTTGGGAGGAAGAGCAGGATACAAATAGAATAAATAAATAAATAAATAAATCATAATAAAATTCAACAGGACTTATTTCTGCATGGACATGCTTAGGACTGCAGGGCAAAACTGATGATTGTTAGACTCCAGTTCCCATCAGCTCCAGCCAGCATGGTCAGGGATGATGGGAGCCTTAGTTCACAACATCTGGAGGACCACACGTTTCCCATCCTTGTTTTATTCCTGCATTGCAAGGGGTTGGACTAGATGACCCTGTGATTTTATGAAAAGCGCGAGCAACCGTTTGGAGCAGAAATGCAGGGATTTGTGAGGAAGAGACACAGCTCAATGGTACAGCATCTGCATGCAGACAGTCTCAGGCTCAACCCCCAGTGACTCCACTTAGGGCTGAGAGGAACCCCTGCGTGATACCCTGGAGGGCTGCTGGAGACAATACTGACAAAGATGGACAGCAGTCTGACTCAGGATAAGGCAGCTTTGAAGTGTGCATACTGAAGTTCTGCAAGGCTCTCTTACAACTGGTGCTCTGTAATATCTATGGCAGCTGCAGTTTTCTTGCGATAAGATTCTTCTGCCTTCAGCCCCATCAAGCCCGCCACTGCAACTTCCACACACACCCTAACCAAACTAAGCACCCTTTCTTTCTGGGAGCCTTTTTTCCCTTTAGGATCAATGAGATGATGTGTCACGTTCCCAAAATGACATTGCTCAACTCTGCAGTGACTCTGAACTGACAGCCAGCTCAGAACCCCCCTAGAGGCATCTGATACGGATCCTTTTCACCACTGAAGGCTTAGCTTGAGAGATAGGCATTCCAAGGTTCTTCTTCTTCTTCTTTTTTTAAAACACTGACAGGAGATACTGGCTGTCAAACAGATTCACATTACACCAGATCCACTGTATTTTCCTTTCTTATTTTTCTACCTCTTTGTACGCTGCTGAAAGCCAAGCCAGAGCAGGGATGGGAGGTACAGAAACGTCATAAATGGTTGTATAGGAAATAGAGGATACAGTGTTTTAAAGGATGTCACCATAAAGAGCTGCCTTATGTGCAATTTCCCCCCACTGAGCCACACAACCAGTCATGCCCTAGTAATCTCCAGCTTGGACTACTGTAGCGTGCTTATTGTGGGGCTGCCCTTGGAGACTGTTTGGAAATGGCGACAAGTAGAAAACAAAGAGAAGGTCCACACCACCTTCTATGTGAGAACCCTTCAGATACTTGGAGACCCTTACTGGTTGCCTCCTCATCTGTATTCAGGAGTATACTGCCTTTGAGCATGGGAGGTGGGTGGCGCTATAGTCTAAACCACTGAGCCTCTTGGGCTTGCTGATTGTAAGGTCAGTGGTTTGAATCCCCATGATGGAGTGAGCTCCTGTTGCTCTGTCCCAGCTCCTGCCCACCTAGCAGTTCAAAAGCACACCCGTGCAAGTAGATAAATAAGTACTGCTGTGGTGGCAAGCTTAATGGCATTTCTGTGCGCTCTGGCACTCGTCACCAGAAGTGATTTAGTCCTGCTGGCCACATGACCTGAAAAGCTGTCTGTGGACAAATGCTGGCTCCCTCGGCCTGAAAGCAAGATGAGCGCAGCAACTGGTTTGCCTTTACTTTAGCTGCCTCTGAGCATGCAGGATCCATTTAAATTTCATTGTTAAAAGCTATGTATAAGCTAGGCATAGGCAAACTTGGCCTTCCAGATGTTTTGGGACTACAACTTCCATCATCCTTGACCACTGGTCCTGTTAGCTAGGGATGATGGGAGTTGTAGTCCCAAAACATCTGGAGGGCCGAGTTTGGGGATGCCTGGTATAGGTCCTTCTCTTCCTGAAACTGGAGTGCTGCATATCAATCAAGTCTTTCCTTGCTATCACCTATAACAAGAGTGAGGAACCTCAAGCCCAGGGGGCAAATGCCCTCTCTACCAAACCCATGGGATTATCTCCAGGCCACACCCCTTATCAGTCCTGCTCTGCATCCATCTTGAGCTCTCTTGCCTGGCACCCCTTGCATGCATTTGCATATGCATACACACATTTATCCTTAAAGAAAATAAAAAGTAGGCAACCTTTAAGTAGATCTCCTTAGAGAGTAATTGATCATTTGAAGACTCCTAAGAAGTATTATGATGGTATGGCCAAAGGGTAAATGAGCAATCCCTTCCAGTAAAATTAAATTGTTTGTCAAAAGTAGAGCTTCCATGTGCAGCTATTTTCTATCTGAGATCTTTCTTAGTAAGTCCTATTGAACTCAGTGGGACTTCTGAGTAAAAATGCTTAAGATTGCAGTATGAACTGGACAATCTTTACGAAGCTGCCTAGGAGTAAGCTCCATTGAATTCAGTGGGACTTACTCCTGAGTAGACATGTAAAGACACTGCTGTGTAAGGCACTAAAGAATAAGCAATAAAAGAATAAACACCCCACAAGTTTCCTTAAAAAATGCTGGCTGCTGAACCATCGCAATTAAATAATTTAAAGTGGATTTGGCTACATTTCCCATCTGCATCACATTCCTTTCACTGCAAGTATTTTATTTTCAGTATAAACAAAAGACTCAGTTTTTATTGCTGATTGTATGTAGCAGTGTCCTCTTTATATATTCACATGCTGTAAACATGTATGTTGTCCTCTAGATCCAAACACAAACAGACGTATTATAAGCAAGCAATACTCCAAAGTGCTTATCTTGTGAACTTGCCGTTTCAATTGCTTAATCATGACAAAAGACCCTGTTTCCAAAAAGGACAGGAGGTGGTGTTCTCATCTCTTCAGTGCTTTTAATGGATCTCTGAGATGTTGAAGGGAGGAAAAGGAGAAGGAAGGGTATTTCAGGGAGTTGGCCGGGTACCTTCCAACTCTGCACTTCTATAATTCCCTTCCTTAGATTGATCAGCAAAACAAGCAGCTGGCAGCAACACAACTTGCACGCATTCAACTTTGCTTGTAGGGCAGCCTTTCCCCCCCCCCTCTCCTCTCTCAAGGTTTTCTCTCACACACGGTTGCAAAACCAGACAGGGGAGCCCATCTTCCTCTTCAAGGGGGAAAGGTGAAATATACTCGGAGTCCAGAGTGGACTTCATGTTCTTTATTCAGCTCATAGTGGTGAGGAGGAATGAAAGTCCCCTCAAAGTATCTGCTTTATATACATTAGTTACACAATGGGCTGCACGTGATTGGCTAATTCTGGAATTCTCCTGTAGGCCAATCAGGTTGTGGTTTCACTTCCATCTGGAGCCGGATTGGGTGGCTCCTGCAGACCAATCATACTGCTGCATTGTTCTAGGACCAATCAGACTGCTGCATTCTGAATCCTATTGTTCTAGGACCAATCAGACTGCTGCATTTTGGATCCTAGTCAACTGAGTACATAACAAAAAGGGAAGGAGGAATGCTCACTTTTGCCTCTCCAGGTTTTCCAACTCCATGTCAATCAGCATCTCTTCTTCTGCTTCAAAAGAAAGGGGAAGCAAAACTGCTCGCTTAGGAATGGAAGAAGGCTGCTGAGTGTGCAAGTGAAGGCCTGAAGCCTAGACAGGTTGGCAGGCTGGGAGCCTCAATGGCACCCCTCTAGAGGCTTCACCCAGGGCAAAAGAAACCCTGTTAGCCCCCTGCTAGCTATGGCTCTACCATAGCTCAGTGGGAGAGCACTTGCTTTGCATGCAGAAGGTCCCATGTTCAATCCCCAGCGTCTCCTAGGGAGAGAATTATATTTGAAATCCTGGAAAGTCACTGCCAGTCAGTGTGGACACTACTGAGTGAGATGGGACCAATGGGTCTGACTTGGAATAAGGCAGCGACCTGCTTTCCTATGTTGCCACTGGAGAAAACATGATACCCAGTGACTGGGGGCGGGCAGTGGCTAGCTAGCTTTATTAATTACTTAAAGCAGATTAGGTCCCCTAAGCCAGTAGATTGTTCTGAAACTGAAGCGGTGAAATCTTGGGATAAAACGACAATTTGTTTTTTATTAATCTGTCACAAGCTCATTACTGGTCTGTTGGAAGCTTCCAAGAGCCCATAGATGGTTGCGTTTTATTGGGGTTGATACTTCCTTCACAGCTAGTCCCCTTAATTAATCAAGAAGGTTTCAGAGCTTTTGGCAGTGTGTGTTTTTAAATCCTGCTTAGATCAGGAAACTGTTTGGTCATTACACATGGGTCGCTTGCCCTGTAAAGTGCAAGTGTAACTGTGTGTGTAAAAGGTAAGGTAAAGGGACCCCTGACCATTAGGTCCAGTCATGGCCGACTTTGGGGTTGCAGCGCTCATCTCGCTTTATTGGCCGAGGGAGCCGGTGTACAACTTCCGGGTCATGTGGCCAGCATGACTAAGCCACTTCTAGCGAACCAGAGCAGCGCACGGAAACACCATTTACCTTCCCGCTGGAGTGGTACCTATTTATCTACTTGCACTTTGATGTGCTTTCAAACTGCTAGTTTGGCAGGAGCAGGGACTGAGCAATGGGAGCTCACCCCGTCGCAGGGATTCGAACCGCTGACCTTCTGATCGGCAAGTCCTAGGCTCTGTGGTTTAACCCACAGCGCCACCCACATCCCAAGTGTGTGTGTAAAATGAGGCAAAAGGGTCCTAGAGTGCTTCAAGTGCTGCTAAGCTGCTGAGTCTGTGGTGAGTCGTGGTCATTGCTGGAAATAAGACATTTTTTGGGGTTGTGCCATAGAGTGCAATTTTCTGTTGAGGGAAGGGTTGTAGCACAGTAGCAGAGCATCTGCTTGGCATGCAGAACGTCCCAGGTTTCATCCCCAGCATCTCCAGGACAGCCTCTGTCTGAAACCCTGGAAAGCTACATCCAGTCTGTGTCTGTGCAGGCAAAAGGGGCTGGACGGACCAAAGGCAGTATCTTCTGTTCTTAAGAAGATGGAGGGTGGGGGGGGGGGATGGATGAAGATCCCCTTTCTTAACCTCGCATCCACCAGATGCTGGGGACTGCTGCCCTCACCTTTGGCCATGGGTCCTTTGGGAACGGTAGCGTAAAACATCCGGTGGGCACCCAGTTGGGGGAGGTAGGCGTGGATGCCCGCAAAGTCCAGCCCAGCTCTAGCCCGCTGCGTTTCTTCATTCACTCTTCGTTCCACGTGGCAGAGGGCGTGTGGGTCACACCCTGTCCGTGTGTCAAAAAAAGTGCCAACTTGCAGCGCTGTTTTGCGGAGCTGATCGGATCCTCGATCTCTCTCCTTCCCCACGCCGCCACCCTTGAAATTCCCACGCTCCAACTCCCGGGATTTCCCCTGGGGGCGGAGCGTGTCTCCATCTCGCAAGGTCCAGGAGGTGGGCGGAAGGGGGGGGGTGGGAAGAGGGATGAGCGCGATTTGCTGAAGGGGCGGAGCTTTCTTTCTCCAGATTTGCATGCGCCCCGCCTCCTCGGGTCGCGCGTTCCCTTTGAAGCGGCGGTGGATGCAACTTAAAGGGATGGGCGAATCCCCCCCTCTCGCGTCTGCGCCCATCTTTCTCGATAATCCGCTCCAGGATTGGTTGAAACCTTGACTGTCTGGGAACTGATGGATTGGGGGGGTGTGTGCAGTGGCAGTAGCGTTGCCTAAGGGGGGGGGCGGGTAAGCTGAAGATAAAAGGAAGATGCGTTTATTTAATTCCCTCGTTTTTACTGGTGGGTTTAAAAAAACAAATTAAAATAAAAGCTGCTGTTTCCCCCCCTCTCCTTTCCCCTCTCTCCCATGTGCGCTGGTGAGGACAGGATCGGAAACGACACCATGTAACTAAAATTTTATTTCCTTCCCCACCTCCCTTGCAGATCGGGCAGGAATTTACTGTTTATTTTAAATTGCATTGCCAAAACAAAATAGGCGAGCGGAGGGGTGGAGGAAGCAAAAGCAAAGCAACAGCAACACAGAGCCCCCTCTCTAACCCTTCTCGGTTGGCAGCCTCTCTTTCTCCAGCCAGCGGTGATCTCTCGTCTCCGGGCTCAGCGTTCCCAAAGCATCACCTCCAGAGAAGAGCCAGGGTGCTTCTTTTGCGATGAGGTCCTGCTCTGCTCCGCCTCCTCCCACCCCCGCCAACCTCTCCCCTCCACCCCAAGAAGTGAATGAGGACTGTAGAGAGAGCGCCTTGTTTGTGCGTGCGTGTTTAAGTGAAAGGAAAACCATCAGTTGATTCCCTCCCCTCCCTTTCCCTTCGTTCTTCAGTGCCGTGTCTCTCTCTGCCTCCTTCTCCTCTCCCGGGCGCAACGAGCCACCGAAAGGCAAACTTTAGCGCTTCTCCCTCCCCGCCGCGCTGCGCTCCGCATCCCTCCCCCACCCTCCCCAGGATCTGTTAAAAAAAAAGAAGAAGAAATTTCAGCGGCCAAACAAAATGCCAAGCGGATCTGTGTTGGGAGGCAGCCTTTGCCTCCCTCCTCCCGATCAATTCCACCCCAAGCCTTGTCAATTCCCGCGCTGCAAAAGAGCGTTCTTCTGCTTAAACGTCCCGCGTCCAAACCTCGGTTTGCAGGAATGAATTAGCGATCGCCTCCCCTTCTCTCTCTCTCTCTCTCCCGCCTCTTCCTCGCCTCCTCCATCTCGTTACTCCTAGATCTCTCGGCTGGCGTTTATTTATATGGAGATCGGCGCTCCCTCTCTCTCTCTCTCTCTCCCCCCCCCCCAACCTCGGATCACCATGATGCAAACCCAGGAGATGTTATTTCTGTTATTTAATATTCCTTGTTATTGAGAACATGCTTTTTTGAAAAACAAAAGAAATCTAGTTTTTGTAAGGACAGGCAACGGAAGGCACCCCACCTGACAAGTCTTTGCTGGAGAGAAAATGTGTCTGAAGATCTGCAGATGACCTTCTCCACTCCCCACCTCTTCTTCTTCCTTTTCTTCCCGGGAGGGGTGAGAGGGGTTAAAAATGGCCAGGAGCCGGATTTGTTTTGATCGCGAAGTCCTTGTGGCAAGGATCTAAGTTCTCTTCTGCAGCCCACCATGGGGACCCCTGGCCAGGGCAAGGTGCCTCGGGTGTTCTGGCTTCTGCTCTTTAGCCTGGCGGTGGTGCTCTCCAAAGGTAAGAAGCAATTAACCTTATCTTTCTTAACTTTCTCTGCCTTCCTGAGCCTGGGATTCTCCACTCCATCCTCCCCCCACCCCCCACTTCTCAAGAGGCTGTTCCTGGGAGTTTGTGGGGAGCGGCTGTAAGATTTGTGAATGGGAAGCGGGGAGCCCTGATCTTTCTTTTAATTTAAATGTCAGGGAAGATCTGCCCCACTCACTGGGATTCACACTGGCAATTTATTAATCTTTAAATCCTGCCTAAGATAATATTGATTAGCACTCTGGCTAGATATTAAAATGGGTGTGTGTGTGAAAGAGAGAGAGAGATTAACTGGGGTTTTACAGCACCTTTTTAAGCGGCTACAAATGAGATCTATGTTCCATTCCTGCGAAATCACATAAAAAAAGATGCTCCCCAGATCTCATGATAGAGACATGGCTAATGACAGAGCCAGGCTTCCTCTGTTCCAGCAGAATCGGATGTCAATGGGAAAGAGTCACCCGGGGGTGTGTATTTGATTATTCATTTATTCTGTAAGGTCGGATGGGTGGCATCACAGCGCATTGGGCAAAGTTTTACTATGAAAAGCAGAAACTCTGAAGTGGGTGATTCATCCTAGCAATGGCCTTGGAATAATGTTGATGAGGAAGCTGAGAACCTGCTATCCAGTGTCCATGCATGCAAACATTCTGACACATTTTTGCATTTATTTTCTCTTTTAAAACAACAAAACACTCAACAATAGCTACATCAAAGTAAGGAATGCTCAGATGAACACCTCAAAATGTAGGGATCTATGGTGGTGGAGCAATTCAGTGGGGTTGCTTGGAAAACTGTGGAAGAAGGGTTTATGCTTCTTCTGGGGGAGTGGGTAACTGAAGGCACCTCTTGCGAGATGTTTCATTAGGCTGGAGGTTTAAAGGGGAAGGAAGACATTCCCTTCTACTTTGTGAATTGGACAATAGGGTAGTTTCACCAGCTTGTCCTGTACATGCAGTCAGTCCTCATGGAGGGACACGGCTTCAGTTAGCTTTTGTTTAGGGTGCTACTTAAAGCTGTAATAGTTCTTCCTTTTTTGCCTATGATGCATCAAAAGTGTTGGCCAAAAATATTTCATCTACATTATAGCATGTGGCAGTGGAATTGACGACTGTCCCTGGGTTGGCCCTGATCTCCTGTTGTAGTACCAGCTTTGGGAATAAGGTGCCTCTGAAACAAGGAAGTGTGTGTTGAAAAGCTACAGAGAGACCTGGGCAATTGAAGAAAAGGAATATGGAGATTTCTGCCTTCGCAGCTCTTCCTTGCTTTACTTTTTCCCCTGTTGCATGTGGAAGAAATAGAAAAGCCTTGTATCTGTTTCTGTTACACAAGAAATACTGGCCATTGCTGTTTCTGTTCATGTGCTCTGAGCACAGGCATTCCACCTTTGCAGAGTACACCTGTTAGTAGATGGGAGGTATTCAGGGTAAAATCTTTGTCAGTCCAGTGGAGTCTACTATGCTGGAGAAGGGTCATAGCTCAGTGACAAGGCAAAACGTCCCAGGAGCAATCCCCAGGGAGGCCTAGAAAGGACCCCCTGTCTGAAACCCTGGAGAGTTGTTGCCAGTCAGTGTTGACAGTACTGGGCTAAATGGACCCATATATATGGCAGCTTCCTATATTCAACTGCAGGTGGGGGTGAAATATGGGATATCTTTAACATTCCACCCCTATGTAAACTCCTTGCATGTAGAGGATGAGGCTAAGCCTTTGGCCCAGATGTGTGGGGTTCCTATACGTAGTTGTAGCTTTGTATGAGGTGTCTTGGAAATATGATAATGGGCCTTTAGGCCAGCCTCCCCAACCCTTATGCCCTCCAGATGTTGCTGGACCACAAATCCTACCAACATCTGCAGGGCCATTAGGTTGCCCTCGACACCATGTAACACATACATAAAGTATGAGTTCAAAACATCAAAGGGAACAAAGCATTTCATAATAATAAGCAAGCCTAGCAACAAGAAATAATAAATATAAGCAATGACACAACGATGACAGGGAAGTATGTGTATATTATTATTATTATTATTATTATTATTATTATTATTAAAATGCAAGCCCTATTTGCAGCCTGAACGGGTCAGAATAATGTGTGGAAAGGGGGCTGTAGCTCAATGACAGAGCATTTTCTTTGCAAGACAAGGTCCCTGGGTCAATTCCTAGCATCTCGATGTAGGACTAGGAATGACTCTTCCTGAATCCCTGGAGAGACACTGCCAGACAGTGTAGACAGTACTGAGCAGGGTGGACCATTAGTTTAACCCTGTATAAGGCAGCTTCACATTCAGTATATGAATATTACCTCTTCTGGGACTGGATTTGCATTTTTTGCCTCCCCCTGATGACCTATTTATTGAGCATTCATCTTCATTTGCTTGCATAAACCTCCGAGGAAGGTTAGACTGTACCCAGTCTTTATTGCACATTTGTGCCAATTTATTTGCAGAGATGTTATACCTCAACGAGTATGGTACTCATCCTGATTTAATCTACATTTGTTTGCATGGTGGTAATGTGACTTCCCATTAATCGTTCGTTCACCCCATACTTTTCAGGGCATTTTCTCATCACTTACCTAACTGCAAAAAAATCTTGTTATCTCCCTCCCTGCAAGTGGATTTGGTACACCAGAGCAGCAGATTGCTTTAATCTACTTTAATTGCACAAACCTACATTCCTAGTATGTGCAGGAATCCCACCCGCAAAATATTGATTGGTAGCCGTACTCCACAGGCCTTGTGTCACCAGGGTTAATTCTGTTCAAGGGGAGGAGCTTTTTCTTGCAGCATGAGACTCCTCCCATTATGTCCAGAGCTTCACGTGTTGTTTTGAAATGGTTTCTGCACCATCAGATTAACATAAATTCACTACCCTAACTCTGTGTGCCTCGGGGTCACTTCATCCAATCAACAGTATTGTGTGAGTGCCTGGAGGCAGTTGGAGGATGGATGGCAGCTAACAGATTGAGGTTGAATCCTGACAAGACAGAAGTACTGTTTATGGAGGACAGGGGGTGGCCGGGTGTGGGGAACTCCGTGGTCCTGAATGGGGTAACTGTGCCCCTGAAGGAGCAGGTGCGCAGCCTGGGAGTCATTTTGGACTCCCAGCTGTCCATGGAGGCACAGGCCAATTCTGTGTCCAGGGCACCTGTCTACCAGCTCCATCTGGTACACAGGCTGAGACCCTACCTGCCCACAGACTGTCTCGCCAGAGTGGTGCATGCTCTAGTTATCTCCTGCTTGGACTACTGCAATGTGCTCTAGGTGGGGCTACCTTTGAAGGTGACTCAGAAACTGCAATTAATCCAGAATGTGGCAGCTAGACTGGTGACTGGGAGTGGCCGCCAGGACCATATAACACCGGCCCTGAGAGATCTGCACTGGCTCCCAGTTTCCGAGCACAGTTCAAAGTGTTGGTGCTG